CCTGGTTGGTCTCCTCCAGGCGGAAGGCAAGCTGTAAGAGCAAGCCAGAAGGTTGGAGAGAGAGAAGGAAAGTGTGGGAAGCAGCCTTAAAAAGCAGAATGATACTAAGGAGCAGCACTTCTCCCTCCCAATGTTTCCTTCTCTGTGGAGGGAGCTTTTCTAAAGTAACTCCTGGCCTCTCTTTGCTCGCTCACTTAACTCCTGTACCAGAGAGGCGGGGTAATGTATCTGATTGGTGAGTTTGGAATAAGACACACGACAAACATAAGCCAGCCCTTTCCTCTTCCTTTCTCTCGTGGCATCTGCAGGCCTGCCAAGAGCATGAATTTTGGTCTGCTTTGTTACTGATACCATTGTGGTAAATGTACCATGGGTACATGGCAAAAATGGGCTTTCCAAAACTGAAATCCAGAATTAGATAGAATTACCCACATATTCCATAGGTGCTAGAAAATTGCAGTCCTACCTCACAGAGGGCAAATTCCAATTTACAGCCAAGCTTACCAGATGACTAACCCGATCTGCCATGAAATATATTTATATAATTGTAATATTATAAATGGTGTTGATTGGTTCCAACTTTCAAATCATCTATAGACAAAGCATAGGTGACATATCTAGTTACAGAATAGAACGTAAGTGCTATAAATCTTGATGGTGTAAAAATAATGGCATTATTGACTTATCTTGGTGTGTAGAGGAGAGAGAAGGTTATGTACGGAATTTTCATGTTCCCCCAAATTCATATGTTGAAATTCTAACCCCCATGTGATGGTATTATGAGGTAGGGCCTTTGGGAGGTAGTTAGGTCCTGAGCGTGGAACCCTCCTCATGAATGGGATTAGTGCCTTTATAAAAGGCACCCCAGAGAGCTCCTCACTCTGCTCTCTGCCTTGTGAGGACACAGTGAGAAGATGGCCATCTGCAAAACAGCAAGTGGACCCTCATCAGACACACCATCTTCTGGGGCTTTGATCCTGGATTTTCCAGCCTCCAGAACTGTGAGAAATAAATTTCTGTTGTTTGAGCCACCCAGTCTGTGGTACTTTGTTATAGCAACCCTAACTGACTAAAACACATGCTCATCTTTTAAAAACGTAAGTCATTTGTCACTCTCCTGCTTGAAACCTCCATGGCTCCCTACTTCACCTGGAATAAAATCCAAACTGTTTTCTGTGGGCTTCTAGGCCCTATAGGCTCTGCCTCTGCTCTGCTCTTGTCTCATCTGGTGCACATTCCCCGCCACTCACAACATGCTGACCCACAACATTCTGGCCCTATGACAGCTTCTGAAAAGTGAAAACATTTCCACTGCTTTTGTACCTGCCTTGACATGTAAATGTGAAGCCCATATGCTCCCCTCTCCAATGCAATTTAACTTTCTTTCTCCCTCAACAATGTATACAATATTATATTATACATACAATAATATATTGCTCCTTTTCACTCGTGTTTGCAAGATCTGTCTTTGTTGATAACTCAACTTAATTGCTTTACAGTGGCCCACTGTATGAATAAGCCTCGTTTATTCGTGCATTCCCCTACCAACGAACATTCGGATTGTTTCCAACTCTTTGTTTTTACTAGTAGATTTTAGTAAATACCCTTTATCGAATTTAAGAAGATTCTTTATCACCTGACAGGACTTTTTTTATAGTAAGTAAACCTCAGATTTTATCAAGTATTTTTATTACAATTATCTGCTAAGATGTTTATATAACTTTACTTTTTCTATCAATGTATTAAATTACTTGCATAGATTTTCCAATATTAAACTGTTCTTGATTTGTGAGATAAGCTCAGCATTGGTCGTGATTACCATTTTTAAATACTGCTACCTGGATTTAGTGTACTAATAATTCATTTCATAATTTCACGTCTGTGTCCGTAAGTGGGATTTGTCAATAAGTTGATGGCTTAGTTTTAGTGTGCAAGGTTATACCAGGCTTATGCAGTGAGTTGAATGTCTTTCCCTTTTTTTCCTCTTGTCTGAAAAAGCTTATCTACCTGTTCCTTGAAACTTTCATGCAACTCATCTTTTGTTACCTGAAACACGCTCTTTTAGAGGAGTAAATCAGTTAAAATGATACAATTTATTTAGTGATTTAATGCGAGCTCGGCTAGCCAAAGAGTGAAAAGAAAGATATCTTGGACTCTCAAGATCTGGTAGTAGAGCTCCTTTATTCAGAGAATAGCATGGGGACAGGACCCATGGGCAGTGAAGAGCTGCAATGTATTGAGGGTTAGGGCTAAATTTATAAGGCGTGGCTACGCGACTTATTTTTCCCAGACAAAGGAAAGATGATGTAAACGGTCATTAAAATGGTATCAGTGCAGGAGGGGTCTGGATACTGTGTGGTCGTATAGCTTTAGATATGAATCTGGTCATATAGATCGGCATGTAGGCCAGGATGCCCTGGGCTTCTCTCCCTGGGGTAGCCTTGATTCACATCAGTTATTCGTTTATTTGAGTTTCCTATTTTTTCTGAGTTTGTTTTAATATTTTTTTTTTAGAAAATTGTCTATTTAAGTCTTTAAAATTATTGGTAAAAATGTTGGTTAGTCTCTAAAATTGTATATATACTGTGTGTGTATATATATATATTTATACACACACACACACACACACACACACACACACACAGTGTTTGTGATTATACCCTGTAATTATGTCTCTGTGTTCCTATTGCAGTTTATTGGTGGCTGCTTTTATTTTTTTGGTCAGTTTTCTTAGGGATGTATACTTTTTGTCTTTTCAAAAAATAATTTTTGGGTTTGTTAATTATTACTATTGGTGATTTTTCTTGGCTTATTTTCTCTGTTCATTTCTGCTCTTATTGTTATTAACTTCTATTTTTTGTGTAAGTTTACTGTTTCATTTGCACAGTGTCTTGAATTAAATCATGAAATCGTTTATTGAAAATAATGTTTATTGTTTATAAGTAAATACATTAAAGCATAAATTTCCTCCTAAATATTATAGCTGCATAATACAAATCTTGAAATGTAGTGGGTTTTTGTTCAATCTTAAATATTTTTACCCTTTTTTGTGTGGTTTTCTCTTTAGCCCATGAATTATTTGGGAGTGTTGGAGTTTCTTAAAGCTGTTATTTTGGGGGGCTGGCCCCGTGGCCGAGTGGTTAAGTTCACGTGCTCCGCTTCGGTGGCCCAGGGTTTCCCCGATTCGGATCCTGGGCACGGATATGGCACCACTCATCAAGCCATGCTGAGGCGGCATCCCACATGCCACAACTAGAAGGACCCACAACTAAAAATATACAACTATGTACCAGAGGGCTTTGGGGAGAAAAGGGAAAAATAAAATCTTTAAAAAAACCCTATTATTTTGTTATTGCTTTCTAGTTTAATTACATTATAGTTAAAGAACATGGTCTGTGTGGTAGTAATTCTTTGAAATTTGTTGAAACACTCTCTGTTACCTAATACATATTCAGTTTTTATAGATGTTCTATCTGTGCTTGAAAAGAATTTATATTCTTTCTAAATTGGGCAAAAGGTTTTGTATGTGTGCATACGTGTCTATGTATGACAAATTCTTAATTTAGTAGATCAAATATTATTTATCCCTACTAATTTTTACTCTTGTCTATTTTGTCTGTTTTTAATCAAGGTTTTTAAAATCATTCAACCATGATTGTGGGTTTTTCCATTTCTCTTTGTGGTTCACTTGGTTTTGCTTTTTGTAGTTTGAGGCTGTGTTACCAAGTCTATTCATGCTCATGATTATTATGCTTTCTTTGTGGATTGTTCTTTTATCATTGTGTAGGTCTGCTTCAACCCTATTAATGCATTTTATAAGTTCTCTTTTGTTTGACTTTAAAATCTTATTACAGGTTCTGTTCTGATTATGATCCTAGTTTTACTTTGTGGTTTCATTTTATGGGCGTATCTATGAGCAGTAAATAGCTTAATTTTAGAAAACCTTTTATTTGTATTTCAATAGCTGAATTTGATCCATTTATACTTATTTTGCTTATTGAGACCTCTAGAATTATTTGTCTTATTCTGTGTTTTATGTTTACCGTGCTTCTTTGCTTCTTTTCCACAGTTTCTTTCCTTTAGTTGATTTGATAAAGTTATTTATTAAAAGTTTGAAAATCTCAGTATCTTTTTCTTCATAATAAAATTATAACTCTTTTAACTATACACTGAGTTTCTCCCTCCCATTTACAGGCATTATTTAATTAATTTACAAGTGTGTTTATCAGTTAGGCATCATATTTTCTTTTTTTGTTAGAGTAAATCTTTGTAAAAAGCTCTTTAATTGAGGGCTTGTGGAAAGAAAACTCTTTTTGTATATCTGAATGATGTCTGCATTTTAAACTCCATCTCGAACAATAGTTTAGCTGGGCATAAAATTATATTTTAGGTCTGCCAATAAAACTCCAAGGAATTGGGGCAAACAAGTCCTTCATGGAAGGGGAATCTAGGCAGCACATCGCAGAGTCCATTGCACCACAAGTCTGCTGCCGCCCTGACATAATTTGAGAGATGTCACAGACTGAGTCTCTGCAAGAGTGGCTTGGCCCACATTCTAATTGCTCAACGGTATCATCCTCCCTTACTACCCCATGTAGACCACTTTATGTAAATGCTTTAGCTCTGGCAGGTGTCATAGCTCTTTTTTAGCTTACCTTCACAGTCTAGGGGGTCTGCTACAGTCCCCAATTCCTTTTACAAGAAATGAGTCTGGAGCAAATGTTGCTAGATCTTGGCGGTGGTGGTTTTTAATTCAATCCGAGAGGGTTTGAATTTTCATCACTTCAACCCATTTCTATTTATTTTGATTTGTGCTGTGTTAGAACTTACTTATGCTATCTTATTTTGTATTCTATTTACTGTACTTTATTTTATTTCTGATTTTCTGTCTTCTACACAGTAGGTAAAATTTTCTTTGTCTGATGTGAAAGTTATACATTCTATTTTTATTCTTCTTGTGAGGACTCATTCTTGTATTTATTTTCCTTTAAATTTCTTAGCCTTATAGGTGATCTGCTTTTCCCTGAATAAGATCCCTGAATGAGTGAATAAATGAGGAAGAATATGATGTAAATAAGGGATGCACTAAAACAAAATGACAAAGTTTAAAATAAAAGGATGGGCCAAGATTTTTCAGCCACGTCCCAGTTAAAATGAAGCAGAAGAGGGACCAGTCCTGAGTGGTTGAAGTTCCACGCACCCCACTTCGGCAGCCCAGGTTCATGGGTTGGGAACCCAGGTGTGGACCTACTCCACTCATCAGCTGTGCTGTGGAGGCATCCCACCTATGAAGCAGAGGAAGACTGGCACAGATGTTAGCTCAGGGCGAATCTCTTCACAAAAAACAATAAAGCAGGATAAATTGTATAAAATAGAATCCAAGTGAAAAAGAAATGAATAGTGTAAAAGTCATCAATCCACAATAAAAAACATATCATTGACCTTTAAGCACTAAATAAAATAGTTTTAAAATATAGAAAGTAATGATTATTAAAAATCAAAGCAGAAACAAAGACATATAGTCTGGAAGACTTTATAGACCATTCTTAGCCTTTGACAGATCATGTACGCAAAAAATAAACAAAGGCATAAAGAATTTGAAATATAGGGAAAAAAGGAACCCTGCAAAAAATACATAGTTCCTTGTGTGTTTGATACATATATGAAAATTGACAGTGTGCTAGATTCACTAGGTTAGCCGACCCAACAATCATTGTAAACTTTGTAGTCTACCATAGAGACCGGAAAACTGAAAAGGAACCTGTCTGTAGGCTCTCCTGTGGCTGGGGGTGGGCGCCCACGTGGTTCAGTTCTAGCAAAGACACATCAGCACAAATCCGCTAGTGCTGCCTCTTCACCTTCTGCTTTTCTTCCTGCCTGGACTGTACACGCTTACCCAAGACGCAGCACCATCTCTCCATATTGGCGGAGCAGGAGAAGAGAAAGAGCCTTGTTCCTGTGGAGATCCTAGACTTCCTTCTGTGGACCTGTTCCGGGACACAAATCAGACACTTCCTCATTCCAGCCCCTTGATTGGGTTTTCTGGCACTTGCTGCTGAGGCTAATTTACACAGCCACAAAGAAAACATCCATAAATACGCCAGCACAAAACCTGTGCAGGACACATCCTCAACCACAATTCAACAAAACTAGAAAGAAATAATAAGGGCTTTAAAGTCAATTATAAAATTTAAAGCATTCTTCTCAGTAACTACTAGCAAAAGAGGAAAGTAGAATGCAAATATATACTATTTGGACAAAAATAAAATTAAGGTATTAAATTAAGAATTCTTAAGACATAATAATGAAATTACAAATTCTACTCCCCAGAATTCCTTATCTACCCTTTCTGTTTATTTTTTCCCCAAACTTTATCACTTTCTCATATACTACATAATTTACTGCATTTTCTACTTAGTTTCCACCTGCCCCACTAGAATGGAAGCTCCATGAAGCGAGGATTTCTGTCTGTTTTATTCACTGTTGTATCCCCAGCCCTTGAAGTATTGCCTGGCTCACAGTAGACATTCAGTAAAACTGTTGAATGAGTTAATAACTCCACTGAAAGCCAAATGCACAATCTTGATTTTTATCATTAAAATAAAAAATGAAAGTAAATAATGCAACTCAAGTTAAAAGAGAGGAACAGCAATCAATCATCAAATAAATAAAATTCTAAGTAAAGCAGAAAGAAAAATAATAAAGATAAACAGAAATTAATGAATTTTGAAGTGTAAGTTTCATAACTGAATAGAATTCTCAATGGAAAAAAATAGAATAGACAGACTTCTGGTAAATATAATCAAGAAAAATGGAAAATGACAAATAAAAATAGGAAGGAAAAAGAAGCTATTGTAACAGCTAGAAAGGAGAATAAATGATGGTAGAGAACTATTTATAATTCCCTGCCTATAAAATTTAGTCTTAAAAACTAGACAATTTTCTATGAAAATATAAATTTAATAAAATTGACTTAAGAAGGTCAACAAAATCTGAATAGATCGATAATCATCAGTAACCAAAAAATGGAAGGTTATCAAATCATTATTTTTAAAAATAGAAGGCTTTCAGAAGGATTTTTTTCAGTCAATTCTTTCAAACTTTCAAGGAAATATAAATCTCTGTGCTATAGAAAACTATTAAATAACATAGCAACACATGAAATTGCTGTTGAATTTTATTAAGTGCCTTTTCACTATCCATTGATGGTATTTTCTTCTGACCCTATTGATTTGATTTATAGTGTTAATAAAAGTCCTCATAATAAATTATCGTTGCATTGTTGTGGTGTAGAAATCTTTTACTCTGCTGTTGAATTCAGTTTGCTAGTCCAACTGCACAATAGAATATTAAACAGCCAATTAAAGGGGAGGTTCTGAAAAATTTTTATGACATGAGAAAATGCTTATGAAATAATGTTTTCTTTATTTTATGTCCTCTAGTGAGTTGAAAATTATATGCCTCTATTCTTCCAGCACGGCATTTCTCAGGCTTAAATTCCACGTTGTCTGACATTAACACTGCCACCTTGACTTTTGATGTTTCTTACAGTGTGGTGCATTGATAAGTGGTGGTCTCCAGGGGTCCATCAAATGATCTACCAGTAGTTTCACAATTATAAAGGAAAAAGTGATGAAACCATTTTGGTCACATACATTTCTCCAATTTGAAATATTAGATTAATAGTGATTTTCACAGAAAACCCATCACAATCTAATGACCTTTGTCTTTTTAAAGTTGTGCAAGTAGTGAAAGGATCATCTCAGCTAACATTAAGTTAACAGCATGAAGCTCTTCTCAATTAGCATCTTTTCACATTCTCTGCACATTTCCGTTAGTTAAAGGACTGTTTCCAAAGGACCTGGACAAGTTAAGACCTCTTTTCTCTCCCCTCAAGCCCATTTGCCTCCAGATTACAGTTGTGACAACTTCTACCTGTGTTCTACTTGTGGACATTAGCATTTTTCCACATTATTTGCACATTATTCACATATTTGCGTTATTTGCAAGTTGTTTCCATTTGCTATATTTGCATTTTGCTTTTTGTGTTATAGCTCAAGTTCCAGGAAATGGATCAGTGGGTCAAGAGTGTTATATTAAAGAGTAGTAATTAACAAGCCGATTCTGAGATGTCTATGGAAATACAAAGGCTCTAGAAGGGTCAACACTACCTTAATAAAGGATGAGAGTTATTTTATGAATTTTATAACTATTTTTTATGATTTTGAATGGCCTGTGTGGTATATGTATTATCTTGAGTAGCCTAAACCTGAAATAAATAGGACTGAAATATATAGAAAACAAGGTATCAGAATTTTTAATTTTTTTTTTTTAAGGAAGTTCAGCCCTGAGCTAACATCTGCCAATCCTCCTCTTTTTGCTGAGGAAGACTGGCCCTGAGCTAACAACCGTGCCCATCTTCCTTTACTTTATATGTGGGACGCCTACCACAGCATGCCTTGATGAGCAATGCCATGTCCGCACCCAGGATCCGAACCAGCGGACCCCAGGCCGCCAAAAAGGAACGTGCGCACTTAACCACTGGACCACCGGGCCGGCCCCAAGATATCAGAATTTTTAATAAGACAACGCAAACAGCACAATAGTAGAGCATTTGACCCTTACTCGATCATTTTCTTCGCTTGTCTGAAAAGAGACTGACAAGTGGGTCTGTTTAAAAAAATCACTCCAAGCACTGCAACTCTCAGCCTCCTCTGGTAGAAAGAGTGGTCCAGCTTCCAGTATGGCAGAGTGTACTGGTGGCTAGTTCACTGCAAGTGGGAGTTCCCTGTGCTGCTTTGGTCCTAGTGATGTGGGCTCAGCAAGCCGAGGAGTCAAAAGAAAGATTTCTTGGATTCTCAAGGTGTGGTGGTTGTGCTCTTTTATTCAGAGAATAGCAAGGGGACAGAACCCCTGGGCAGGAAAGAAATGCAATGTGTTGAGGGTAGGGTTTAATTTATAAGGCGTGGGTATGTGAGTTATTTTTTACTAGACAAAGGAAAGGTCATGTAAAAAGAAGTCATTAAAATGGTATCAGTGCAGGTGGGGTCTGGTTATCTGTGGTCGCATAACTTTAGATGTGAGTCAGGTCAGGACCTCCTATACTCCCCCCAGGGTGATACATATCAGCATGTAGGCCAGAATGCCTGGGGCTTCTCTCCCTAGGGCAGCCTTGATCCCACATCACTAGCATCCGGCTGTGTGTCCCCTATGTCAGAGCCTACTGAACTCTATTATGATTTATGCTGGAGGACATGCTGAAGACTCTTGTTCCCTTTCCTCTTTCCTCCTTTAATTGTTGTAGTGTTCCAGACAGTTCCAATTCTTTCTCTAGACTCACAGTTCCTGCTAGACCAGCACCAAGAATTTCATTCACTTTATTTAAGAAGAGGTGGTTACAGCTTTAATCTGGAGGCAAGCAGCTTGCTTGCTACCAGCTGCTCAGTATGGGGGAGAAAACAGGGGTCCAGCTTCATCAGATACAACTAATTACCCTGATCATTGCCTCAAACACCCTGCCTTCTCTTTGTCTTGGTTGGCCCTGAGCTGACGTATGTCTGAGGCTCTCTGAGAAAGGAGCCTTACTTGTGTGTGGGTGCTCCTGTGAGTATTTTGGGTGATGTTTATTCTTTTTCCAGCCCCAGCAGAGAAGGAGCCGGCAGAAAGGAGGAGATTGACAATAAACAAGAGAAGAAATAATTGACAAAGCAAGTTCCCTGAGGGTCTGGAAAGGATAGAATTGAAAACACAGGCAGAACAGGAATCGCAACATTTTTCCTTCTGTTAAATGGAAGAGAAGATGAAAAACCAGGAGCAAGGACAGCCTCAGATAAATGACCACAGTGCCTTGCCTTTAATAGTGACTCGAATAAATACTTACTGAATTCAATAGATTTAACTAGCGACACAAACTACCAGCTCCCAGTGAATAAGAAAAGGTGTCATTGAAACATTATATCCAGCAATCAGCCACATGGAAATTTAATACAGATATTTAGAGCAGAACACTGGGCTGGGCGGGCCATGTAGTTGACCTAATAGAGCAAACGGTATACTCGGTAGTCACCTATTCTTTTAATTATAATGATGCCCAAAGGTACCTTGTAAGTCACTGGCAGCATAAATGCTTTCTCTCCTATAAACATTCCTAAAAGATGAAGGAAGGAAACTAACAAGAATTGAGCTCTTAATTGTCAGGCTCTGTGCCAAATACCCTAATATGTGGTAGTTTCATTTAATTCCTCACTACAACACTATTGAAGAAAGTGACTCAGAAAAATCAAGAACTTTGCCAAGGTCATCAGTCTACAAAGCAGAGCTGGGATTCAAACTCAAGCCCAGCTTAAAAGTCTACTCTTGCCACATGCAGCCACGCGACAGTGTAACAATACAAAAGAAAAAGAAAGTTTAATCTCCAGTAAATTAATTTCATGCCAGAAAGAGAGGGTTCAGGTACCTAACAGAGACAAAGTCCGGCAGAAAAACCATCCCAGTTAACCTGACTCTTTTCTGTAGCTCTATAAAGTGTCATAGATTTGTGGGTGTTTTCAGAAAATTGACAACTTCTGGATGGAGCATAACTTTTTGTTCATCTCAAGACTTCCTCGATACTGGTGAGAAAACAATTTTAAAATGCTTCCTATTTCTCTCGCTCTGAATTTGAGGTCCTCTATTATTTTCTGTTGTCAAAACTCAGACAAACCTTATTATTTTATTAGGTCATTGGATATGATTTATATGTCTCCGAGGAGAAGTGACTGCAGAAAGGGAGAGTGATAGGACTTATCAGGCCCTGAGTGGACTGAGCTCACCCATTAAGTTA